ACTTTTGACACGTCCCAAAGGAGTTCAGATTGGACAGGTTTCGCTGAAGTAAAAAACCTCAAATGACAACCCCAGCAAGGATGAGTCAAAGAGTGAGAAAGAGCAGGGGAGTTAATTGTTTATTTTGCAATTCAAATTCAACAAACTGGTCAACTATTAGGTCTCTAAAGCTGATATGACACAAGGGGATTACTAGAATCCTCATATTGGAACCTTAATTAATGAAATTAAGAAGCTGCATCAGGATGATAATCATCCTTTTGATGATGATAATATTGAGGCTAAAATAACATGGTATCATAAAGTGCAATTAGAGGGGTAGCTTATTGAGGCACATACAGTAGCATATAGTATCTAATAGCCTTTCGATGGGCTTTTATTCCTTAGGGAATGAATCTCTACTCAACAAATGGTATACAGAAGGTTTTATTCTGGTTTTATTCTGGTTTTATATCTGCAATAACATTTTACAGAAACATTACCAAGTGTTATACACATTATATAATGTCATAATAGTTGCTCAGAGAATCACAAAATAGAATACCCAACAAAATCTGTTTATGCTCAAGAATACACAACCAATCTCTTAACAGTACCATACAGTACTATTTGGCTACAGTACCATACGGTACCATAAAATATGATACAGTATACTAAAAAAAACAGTACCCTACAGACTGAAAACTGTACGATGCCATACTCAAACCGTACTGTATCGTACCATACTCTTAATATACAGTACGGTTACCGTGATTTCAGAGTGCGGATTTGCAATTTCTTGTTCATAATTTGGAAATGTGCAATCAGTCTGTTTTGAGACCCTGTGTTTCATTAGTGACATATTTGCATGGCTGGACAAGATGTTAATTAGACATATCCAGGTCTGTAATTTTGTTAATTCTTTAATCAGCCTAATTTGTACATCTCTGGAATAGCCCTACAATCTGCTCTATCTTATAATCCCAACCAAATAATTGTGAACCAGTCGCAACAATCTCTCTAATGTTTACTCTAAAACACTGAAACGAAATGTCTGAATTTCAATCTTGGGAGTTTATAAATGAAATGAACAATGCTTTATATCTGAATAATTCCTCAGTTTTATATTTAGACAGCAAAGAAGCTTTCATCAGACATAATTCCCATTTTAATGTTCGAGGAATGATAAATGTTGAAGATGATTGGTCTAATATAGACAGTCAGTATTTGACAAAGCTAGGATTAATCTAAATGGCCCATCTTCAAATGTTTCCAGTTGACTCCCTTGAAACAAAAAGAAAATTAATTTCTGGGTCAAAGTTAGCCTGCCATCGAGTCTCTCGGATACTCCCTTGCCCTGTTGAAAAAGGGAAGAAACATTAGAAGGAATTCTCTGATAGAAAAAGACGGTCGGCATATTATTCAATTACAACTGCTCACCCATATGAGCGAAAATGTCAAATATTGAAAACATTTGGCTTGAGGGTTAAAGTGTATATCTCAATAAAAGATTAAGAAAACTGTCATTATACAATATGAAAATACCACAAGGCCCATTAGTTAGAAAAAATTAGGGGTTGTACCTAATTATATTATCTTCACAGACTCTAGTCAATGTAACTAGCCAGATGTTCATGTAATTCTTGATTACAGAGTCTTCAGAATTCATCAAATATGTCACAATGAACCCTTTTCTGGAAACTGAATTTAATTTGGTGAAGAATGAGTTAGTGTCAATTTAGAACTTGTATTAAGTGCATTATTTCAGAATAATATGGAAACTGAAAGAACATGAAACTATAGATGTGGATGCGCAGAATTTCATTCTGTGTTGTCATTAACCAATGAATATTTTAGAAAGGTTCCCATATCAATATCTCTATCTTGCATGTGTATTATGCTGGTGTTATAGTTTTTGTATTTCTATTTCCGTGGCAACACTGGCTGCCTTCTCATTGTTCAGATGATCAGAAACATTATATTCAAATTGTAGAAAATAGTGAAAATATGACCAATAAATTAATATGTTCTTTGTCCAAACCATAAAATAATATCCAGGAGATATATAAGTGACAATATTTAAATTTTTACAAACTTATTAATAGTAATAGCACATGTTTCTGTAAAGATATGTATCAAAAAGCTACAAACTGTCAGAATAGTACTAAAACGAGAGCAAATGAAATGAAATGCTATTAGTACATATGGTTTTACGTGTAACAAATGTTTTAGCACATGGCAATATGAAATAAATGAAGCATAAACAGATATGATACATTGTTTATGATCTTGAAGTATTATTACAATGTGAGCACATAAAACATACGTTGAGGAAGAAAAAGAGGAAAAATAGGAAATGGAGAGATGGGGGGGATGCCCGGATGGGGGGGGGGAAATTCATTTGAATCCTTTATCTACGTTATTTCTTTTAATTTTCTTCATTGTCACAAAAGATAGAAAATTGACAAGGCTTAGCATCCATTTATAAATATTATGATAACCTATCACCTTTAATGCAATTCAAAAAATATTTGAGACATCTCTACATCTTGTTATGCGATCATTATGCAAAATGATGTATTTATTCAATTTAAAACATATTACTGTCAAGGTATGCCCTTTAGAAAAATATTTGCTAACATCTCCTATCTTTTCATAATTAACTTGAAAACACCCTGAAACACCACTGGTTAGTCATACTAGGCCCTGACTATAACAGACAATTGTACGGTTTTGATATTGATAATCTTCATGATCTCAAATGTAAATCTGAAATATAGCTACTAGAATAGGCATATGTAGGGTTGTACTTCATAATCTGATTGGTTATAGGCTGGATATACCTCTTATTTTAAGAGGTGAAGGACATTGATCTATTTTCAAGGGTAGCTTGAAATGTAGACTGCAATAACATGCAGAATTTGTATATTAAAGAGTATCTTATATTTACTGAGAGTACACAAGTTTAATGATATGCTGAAGATGAAATAGGTTATCACTTATAAGAGGTAAGGGTATACTTTCAAAACAGACATCAAAGGAAACAAAATGATAATTTTAGACATTTTAAGACTCCATATAGCTTAGAGATACAGATGCAAATAAATACAATTTTAATGGTTGAAATATGGATAAAAGAAGTTTTTTGATCTTTTGTGTTGCAGATCAACAAAATAATCTAGAGAGGCGTCATGAATGTCATCTAGCCCAATGTCATAACAGAACATTTAAACTTGGATCTACTTGAATTATATCAGATCCTACAGAAGAATGATTATTTTTTATTACTTCTACCTTTGTGACTTCGCAATATATCACATGATTCATATTTTCAACATTACTCAACTGAAGTGATGTAAAAATGCAGTACTGTATACTCAAAATGATAAGTGAATTGATAATGACTATTATTAATATAATAGCTCTCAAAATTCCTAACAGTTTGAAATATGCGGCTGAAAATACAGGCGTCCTTCTCACCACCCTGTCAACACTCACGCTTATTTGACCACAAACTTTCAGAAAAATAAAACGATATTGTACACAAAACTATTAGTACAGCGAAAATTATATAATCTTAATACTTGATAATGACAACTCATGGTTATATGCAAAATCTGAGCCAAAAGTGCAGAGTTGTAAGTATGCAGGTGTATATGCCTTGTCATTTTTCAATTTCATTTTTTATTTGAACTTCAGGCAAATAAAACAAGAATTTCAAAGGTTAACTGTGGGTGACACTTTTTATATCATAAGATAAGACAATATTATCTCATTGAAATTAAGGATTTCAGAGGACAGCTATGACACATCAAGTTTTCCCTGAAGGTATGTTATCAATTATGGTGATGACCCATGTAGCACATGGAGATATGATGTCATATTACGATGTCATATGACAGTGAATGTCAGGCTACAGGTGATCACACTGAGAGAGTGTTTCTGATTAAACATGTGAACAGTTGCTTCTATGAAATATGACCCAAGATTAAAGTCCAGGAGTTAGCTCTAAGCATATTGAACAATATTCATATCCATAATGCTTGACATTCACCCATATATGACTCCATGGGTGATTACCCTGCTGACATGTTATGTGAAACCATCTTGTCTTTCAAATTGTTACTCACAATTTTGCCCCTCTACAAAAAGTCAAGATATCATCTCACATATATCTCTGATCTTGTGTTCTAGGGAGGGTAGATTGTGAGTGGGTTAGGGATTATAAAGCAAAACAAAACATGAGATATCTTAACAGAAACCCTGTAACCTTGTAGTATAGTAATCTCAAATCAATTCCCTGTTTCCATATTTCACATTCTCTATATCCATCCTCCAAGTGCACATGTTAAGATTTGACACAAAAATGAGAAATCAACAAACAGAACATTTGAATCTACCCAGTGCTTATAACTGTGTGTATGAGTTGTAAATGTTTGTAGTTTGTATTTTTTACTTCTATTCTTTTAGATTGATGTATTTATGTGAATGCATGCTATGAAACAGACGCCAAGGAACTCTTTTTATGTGAGCTCCTATGAAAAAGTTTACACTATCATCAGACCACTGTAACGACGTTTCTTAGAGAACAGGAACGAGAGACATAAATTTCCAAGGTTTCTATGGAAATTAGAGTGAAAATTCTTTGTTTGTTCATTTAATTCCTTAAAAATTCCTTTCATTTTCTAATTAGTTCATGAACCAAAGTATGATGACCAGGAGATTTTATATACAGGCCTCTACAGGAGTTGATGAATGGTTTAAAGCTATATGTTACTAAAATATATGAATCAAAATAAACTTTCACTGACTTTTAACATTTCTGCTATGAAGGTGTACTATGTGTGTGATGTGTGGTAATGCCATGCTGCTAGGCATCAATATTTAACATTAATCATTCGTCTTTTAAATGAGATATCACTCTATAAAATGTACTTGTCTGTCTGTCTGTATGTGTCAGTCTGTATGTGGGTGGTTTTGCTCAGTACTGTATATACACAGAACATAAAATTTCTACGTACCACCTAGCTCCAGTGCCATTGAACCCTGGATCATCAGGATTGCCAGCAAGAGGGCCCCCATCATAGGTGTCACCACTAGTTTCCTGCGTGTTTTCCAATATGACCGATTTTTCCTCTCCGTGAACTTAACGGTCTCCAGATCTATTGAGAAAGTTTTTGATGTGGCTATAAATGTCATGTCTCTGATATGGCTATTTCACAGGCCAATACCTCCTATAGACTTCACCTTTCACTTTTCATGTAGTTTGTTTTCAGTGATAATTTACTGCCAATGATATAGCATGCAGCACAATCATTACATGTCAGACATCCAATTTAATAATTTGTGCTCTCACATCTAAATGGCAGCTCCCTTATACGATCTTGTCCACAACATCAACTGTATATATGATATATCAATCCATACAACTGTACACTGTATAGTTATTGGTAATGTATTAATTCCTTGAGATAACAAATATACAAACTTCCAAACTTTAGTAAAGAAGGATATACAGTTTAAAGAATGTAGGTGTGAAAAACACCTAATTAGAATGATCTAATATCCAAACTTGTAATTTCCTGATGTGCCTCTAAATCCTTGTCATCAACGAAATGTATTTTAAATGTATGACACAGTGTTAATTTGCGTGAATCTAAGAATCTAGATAGCTCTGACTCACTCGTTTTTAGTCCTTCGTTAATTTTTCGCGTTAATTTTTCCAACCACAGCTGGCGAGGCTGATCTATGGAAAGATTTCTTAGATTAAATAATGCCTCCCTCCTCAAGCGAAGTGTTAAAAATTCAATCGTTTCTGTTTCACTTATGTATCTGAAGCTTTGTAAGGTAAAATCCAATGGAATTCAATCGTTAGAAACATCAATTGTTCTTTGATTGTTCTCAGTGGTCCCTCCTAGAGGTTAATTTCTTCTACACCAATCTCTGAAAATATATAGAGGAACAAACATGAGATCGATATATTGAAAAAACAAAGGTTATGAGGTCATCTTTTACACCACACATTATGATCCCTTTGCAAGGAATTATACAAAAATTGTATAAAAGAGAGGGCCAAATAAAAGCTTAATGTAAAAGAGTAAACATAAATTCAAACACTGACTGTTTACAGTACATGTAGATCTCATATAGCAACATGAATAAAATTGTATTTAGTATTTTATTGCTATATTTGATCAGTGTCATTATAACTTACAACAAATAAAAAATATGAAAGCAAAACTCTATAGATGAAAATAACATTCACTTTTATACAGGGATATACATGGATATTCAAAAATTCCCCTACATATACCAACACTCCCTAAAACATCTATACAGAAATAAAATTTTGAATGTGATTTTCGGATTACAAATATAAACTCATTTCTTACATCAACACAATATTTTTAACAATTGTAAGATTATGAGATTTCCCCATGTTCTATAACATTTGATAATAACCGTAAGTATATCCAGTTTTCGGATTAGTTCCCTATAAATTCTCCATAAAACAAAATCAACCTTGCTGAAAACATCATTTTAGTTTTTTTTCATTTTTAGGAATGATTGTTCATGGCAGGTAATAAAGCATTAAAGCCAATATTGAATGGTATAAGGCAATCTGTTGATACATTGTGCTAACACAAAGAAGACATGATGTCAGACAATGTCACACTACAAGTATTATAAATAGCTTGCCAAAAATGAAAGCTTATTTCATATTTTTAGATGCTTATACAAAAGTTGTCTAATGAAGCGAACTGGGGTCAGTTCTAGGTGTTAAAATATGTAAATCTCTAGAAATCTCTTGTGTAAAGTTGCTCATTGATTGAAATGAAAAAAAAAATCTCAGAAAAATAAAAACTATTCTGTCTTGTGAAGACCTCAACGTGACAAAAAAATAAAAGAGTTTCATTATTTTATTTCTGCTCTTTAAAATGGTATATAACTTTTTATTTTATTCATTACATAGCATTACTACCTAGAGGTAAGCTATCATTGTATGATAACTAGAAGGCATATTATTGTTTGGAACAGACACATTTATTGAGCATTATTTCTAATACAATAGAGTCATAATCGAAATAAACTTTCTCGCCTGAAGCCAAAGTGAGTCAAACAGAGGTTGCAATTATAAAATCAGGGCCTATTGGGAGGTTAATATGTTGAATAGATTTACACTAGTCTTGCATCAAGCCCTTGTATATTCAAAGTGAGTCAAACAGAGGTTGCAATTATAAAATCAGGGCCTATTGGGAGGTTAATATGTTGAATAGATTTATACTAGTCTTGCATCAAGCCCTTGTATATTCCCCGATAGAAATACCTATATATTCAGATAGAGATATAGAGAAAGGCTGGGCCATAGATTTACTACCCTGGGATTCTTGAGACTACCAGTTCAATTCCAGACTCTGAGTATAGATGAAGCCCTCCCTCAAGTCAAACAAGGTGTTGTACCTCCATATATACTAGATCGGAAGGTTTGGTATATATTGTTCAGAATCCCAATATGTCCCCCTCCCATTTTTGCCCAAATAAATGTGGAAGGCTGGAGAGTGAATGGGGAGGAGAGTTGATACACAACTAGCCAGATGTAATGTTAATAAGGGAATAAAGAACGTTTTCTCAAGACCACTTGAATATTACTATGTACATAACTACTTAACACCTATTAATATACCTTAACACCAGGTAAAACATAATCATGCATTGTATATTATAGCAATAGTATTCACCTGTCTTTATTCCTATTTCCAAGATCTATAGTCTTACATCAAGCCCCTATACAAACAACATTACCTCTAAATATACACGGGGGTTGAGAAAAATAAGAGAGGGAATTTACGTAAGAATAGTCTTAACACATAGCAACATCAATGATTCTCTCTACTCCCATATTGCCTGTATGATATTTTTTCGAGTACTTGCAGTCTACTGCTACCCCTTCTCACAAACCAATAGACAAAAAATAGACTCATCTTCGATGATCATAAATCAAGACGTCTACATTTGTTTATATATGATGCACATCAGTAATATGTAAGATCAATGAATTTTAATCAAACCTAATAAAGAAGATAAATCTATGGATGTCTATACCCCATACCTGCCTAAACCATGATAATGTTATTTGGAGATGATAGTTTCTTATTTGATCACAATTTATTGTCTATTTAGCTACTTATGAGCTAGCCAATAAAAAATGAGTTCAGCAAAACAGTTTTAAAATTGTAATGTTTTAACAACTTGTATCCCAATGATTTAAACAGATTGGAAACCATTTTGTCTGAGCCTAAATCCTATTTGATCACTTATCTACCCAGAAATAAATTACTCAAAGTTCATTTTCATCTCTTGCAAAGAAAGCAAGGACTATGTATAAAATCAGAAACATAATATTGACATAATGATTGATATTAAGCACAAGGCATGGATTCATACATTCCATAATATGAGCAACTTCCACAAACACTGGTGTTGACAGTGAATTTTTTGCTTGAGTAAGATTATATGTACACACATGTACATGTACACTAGCTAATGTACACATACATCATTAAGGAAAGCTTCACATCTTGCATCTGATAGAAATATCAGCCTGTCAACTTCAACTATCAATTCCCAATGATGGCAAATTCTCCCAGGAATTTTCAGATTCAAAACCAAATTATGAAAATTGTTGATAAATCTGATAATATTCCTGAATATCTAATACATTCTCTACCCTGCATGCAGAGTCTAGTTAAACTACACTCTGCCTAGTATAGACCATGTTACAGTTTAGTAACCCCGCCCCCACGACGGGTACCGGTGACAGTTTGGGTAATAAATCACTTTTGACCTACGCGCTGACCTCTCTTCCACCAATCAGCAAGCTTGAAGAAACATACGCCAAATGCGTTCTAATTAAATATGCGCATGTCATTGGTCAATTCCGGGCTCAGCGATGACATCAGAATGAATGACCATATATAGAACGTCGGTCAAATTTGGCCGACGAATACTGATTGGCGCGGTGAGTTCACAGGTTTATTTTAGTTTGAAAGAGTGAAGACGAAGCTCTCTTTTAAGAAGTGAAGTCAAACGAATGCAAAGGGTATACATTCTCTATCCTTCCTATAATTTGATCCTGATTGTAAAATCTTAAAAAATATTTTTAAAATTTTGACTCGAAAACAAACTCCAGAGAAATGTGTATATTTTTGAATTATGTGAAAAACATTAAAAATCATGGATGCAGGAATAATACACATATGTGAGTCACGGCCAACAATTAGGCATTAATTCCTATGAACGATAAAATTCAAATGAGTGTCACAATCATTACTGCTCAAGAAATCCCATTGCTCCCACCAGTGGAACAAAACCCTATTGGAATATCATAGATTTGCATTGATCATAGTCAACTAAATAGTGTCAGCTAATCTGATTGTATGAGGACACCCAGTCAAAGAATGTCATGCATTAAATTACATATTCCAGATGAAAAAAAATGTAGAATGATTATCATAATTTGAAATGGTTAAGCAAAATTCTGGACAAAAACTTCTAAAATTGTTTACAAATTAGGAAATTAAAGACAAAGGTACAAAAATAAAGCCAAGTCTAATTTCAGGAGAGGGTCTACCAGAAGCATTGTTTTTCCTCTTAATTGCAAGTTTTGAATAATTGTCTTCGTTAATTGAGCATTGTTACAATGGGACTAATTAGAATCTCTGGGCCGCATATGAGCCCCTAATATCAATATTACTCTACACCAATATTTTTATAAATTCCAATAAACTACTCTAGCTAGGTTTATACAATCTATCCATTAACTCTCACAATGCTGGATGATAAAAATAATGGGATTTGGCTCGCATGTAAAAGTGTGAAGTTTTTTACTCTGTACAAAAGGTAAGACAATAGGACACAATAGAAACATTGATCAGACTTTTCCAACCATGCACCAAACCTACTTTAGTGACAGTGAATCATAAGTATGTAGTGAACGTTTTTTATTCAGAAAATGTTTTCCCATTTCAAAAGATGCTTATTCAGAAAATGTTTTCCCATTTCAAAAAATCACACACTGAAGTGCAATCGATTAACATGTAACGAAATGGAATTGATTGAACTATCGGAAAAGGTGTTCACACTTTGAAAGATGCTCTCTTAAGAGGCAAACAAACGTTCATTGTTCATAAACACAGCTG